CCATCACAGGGACACCTGGACAGGTCTCCGGTCCATCACAGGGACACAGAGACAAACGAGACAGTCACTCTCACTCACACCCAGGACCAGTTTAGAGTTGGTCGATGAACCTAACATGAGTTTAGTTTGTGGGAAGAAACCAGAGTTCCCAGAAAAACACACAAGGAGAACATGTGAGCTCCAGGATCCCAGACCGGAGGGTGAACATGCAACCTTCCCGTTGAGAGGCGACATGTCTAACCACTGCACCACCAGAACTATAAAGTCCTACAGCTGAAATTCCAGATTATCAAACTGTCCAGATTATCAAACTGTCCAGATTATCAAACTGTCCAGATTATCAAACTGTCCAGATTATCAAACTGTCCGTTTCATCTGAAGCATTTTAAACCAAACTAAGGATCAAAGATCTGCACAGAGAACTGACGACCGTCGTTCTATAAAACCATGAGACCTGATCCTCTGCAAACGTAAGACATCAGTAGTTCACAACTTTGACCTCAGCTCCACTTCAGATGGGCCAGAGATCCTTTAATTTTTCTACATTATAACTCTCAGCAATAATAATAATAATCTTTGTTTCTGAACAGCTACTGAGTGCACTTGGTTACCACGTGCTGGTTCCTGACTACAGAGGTACGGCACATTCCTTACTTCCACCTCTCTCTGTCAATGAACACGTTTTGAAGCCACACGGCTCCTGACACTGTGGTCCAGCGTCTTTGTGGCTCATTTTCTGTGCGGTGGTTCAAAGACAGCAGCTTCAGGTGGTTCTTGTGTCCTCGGAGTGGCTGCCCTCTGGTGGCAGCAAAGAGTCGCTCTGAGGTTTCTCAGTGAGCTCAAGCTGATGTGAGGAACTCTGGCAGGTTTTGGAGACTCCACGGGGGAGCCGACTCTGTCCGGTCTGTCTGCGGACGCCGTTTATCTGTACAACTGGGTGAAGGCCCGCTGTGGAGACAGCCTGCTGGTGCTCTGGGGCCACTCCCTCGGCACCGGGTCAGTTAACAGACACACAAGTCCAAGTTTCTAAATGACTGTTTGACTTTAATTTAATGTCACTTGGAACAAAAACAAGCAACTGTTTGAGTTCAAACATGTTTTAGTTGTTTCAAGAAGAAACCAGTGTCATGGTTATATGACACTGGTTTCAGTGGAATATTTTATTTGGTTTTCTAAGACGCAGCAAACTAATTTTATTTATTTTTGTTTTTTAGAGTGGCCATACATTCTGCCGTTAAACTTCTCGAGCAAGGTGAGTTTATTAATCTGATAAGCAGAAATCAGTGGATGGTATTTCTGTCTTTAAGGAATGTTTTGGTCATTTTGGACCAGGGTTTAGTAGAGAAGTTATGAAGAATCAACATCTTACTTGTAGATGCATTTTAAATGATCTCAGTTTGGAGGAGCAGTTCAGTTCTGGCAGGACTGATGAGCTAACGGCTGGTCAGACACGGCAACGACCAAAGTCATTTAAAAGCAGCTTGATCTCCAACAAGTGTTCACTCCAAAGCTATTTCCTGGACTGTCAAACGTTCCGCCAGAGTTCAGCAGAGAGATCGGTCTGGGTGTGGATGTGTGGCGGCTCTGGTGCTTTTGGTTCTGGTTGGATAGCGTTTCCCTCGATGTCCTGGATGAAGGGACCAGAAGTCCCAAGTATTTTCTCCACTGTTCTCACAACTCTTTGAAGGCACTTCCAGTCCATCCAGAGGTGCACTGCAGTCGGTCACGGTGTGCTCAGTAGTGCTCTGGTAGAAAGTGGGGTGGGAGGTGGAAGATATGATTTTCTCATCCTGCAGAGGAAACCCTGCTGCACTCTCTTGAACGGAGATCTGGTGTTGTTTGACCATGTCAGGCTGTCTGTTTTGTGCACTCCCAAGAGCTTGGTGCTCTTCACCATCACCACTTCTGACTTGTTGGTCTGCAGAGAAGAGAATGGGCTGCTTCTTCCTGAGGTCGGCTGTTTATCTCTTGGTTTTGTCAACATTCAGCAGGTTGTTTCAGCTGCACTAGTCCCCCCGTTGCTCTCCTTCCGCTTCGTATTTCCAGTCGTGGTCATTCCAGATCAGGCCCACTAACATTGTACCGTCCGTCATCATATTTGATGATGTAGCTGGAAGTGGACCTGGCAACACAGTCATGGGTCAGGAGAGTGAAAAGCAGAGGACTCAGGACAGAACCCTGAGGGGTGCCGGTACTCAAGGTGATGACCGAGGAAGTGCTTCATCCCACACTGACCAACTGGGTTCTTCCAGAGAAGTGTCAGTTTGCTCAGCAGATGCTGAAGTATTATTGTGTTGAAGTTTAAAATCAACTAACAGCATCTTCTCCAAGATGTTCCTCTCCTCTAGATGTTGGAGACTCAGAGGAAACCGCTTCCTCTGTGGAACGATTTCTGCATTTTGCAAACTGGCACGAGTCAAAACCAGAAGGTATTTTATAGAACAAAGCACTTCATGCAACAAAGTGGTAATCTTTCAGGCAGGTTGTTGTGAACTCAGTTCAGTTTATTTATGAAGCTCCAAGTCACAACAGAAGTCGTCTGAACAGAAACATTCATCTATAAAATAATAATTGAACAGAAACATTCATCTATAAAATAATAATTTAACAGAAACATTCATCTATAAAATAATAATTTAACAGAAACATTCATGTATAAAATAATAATTGAACAGAAACATTCATCTATAAAATAATAATTGAACAGAAACATTCATGTATAAAATAATAATTTAACATTATTTATGTGAGGAGCAGCTTTGAGTTTAACTCCATCACTGAACTCTCATCTTGAACAAGCATGAAGGCGACAGTGGAAAGAAAAACTCCCTCATGAGGAAGAAACCTTTAGCAGAACCAGGATCAGGACAAGAGGACCATCTGCTTCGACCGGCTGGGTTTGGTAGGAACAGATACACAATGGCAGGTCAAGAATCACATGTTAAGATAGAAATAGTATCAAATGAAAACTATTCAGTTTTAACAATTCATTTAAGGAAATGAGGTCAGTTTGTCCTCTAGTAGTCTAAGTCTATAGCAGCATAACAAGCCGACCCTAACTATAGGATTTATCAAAAAGGAAAGTCTTAAACTGGACAATGTGTCAGCCTCACGGACAGAAACTGGAAGTTGGTTCCACAAGAGAGGAGCCTGAGAACTGAAAGATCTTCCTCCCATTCTGAAAATCGTGAGTTGCTTTTTGTTTGGAGCGGTGGGCATTAGAAGAAAAATTAAGTGATTTAATAAATCTGGAGAAAGTTTTGGCTTAAAATGTCCATCCCCAGTAATGACCATGAGAATTTGGTACACAGATGTATGAAATAGTGCTGGTGTGAACCACGATGGGATTGTGAAGACTGGAGCCGTGTTTGGAGCAGCTCGTCCGTCCTGTCAGAAACCATCTGCAGATGATAGTTTTTGTTCATAACCTTTCCTCAGAACTCCACGTCAAGATGTCTGAACCTGTTTCATCTTCCAGGTGTGGTGCTTGATGGGGTCGTTCTAGAGGGGACAGTCAACACTGACCGACAGTCCTCGCAGGGCCACCATCCTTTCTTCTGGGTAGTCTGGACTCACTGGGAACGTTTAGCGCCTGTGCTCCATGTGCTGCTACTGCGTCCCTCCTCACGATGTTTGTGTCTTTGTGTTTAAAGTACTACTGGAAGTTTCCAGGCATGGGGTACTTGTTCCCAGAGCCGTGGGCCGAAAACAAGTTTTCCTTTTCTACAGAACAACAGTGAGTTATTTACACAAATATAAAGTGGTGGACAGCAGCAGAAACTGGTACAAATTAGAACGAGTTCTTACATAAATGTGTTTTGTTTCTGTGCAGTTTGAAAGAAATGAGAAGCCCGATTCTTTTCCTTTATTCTGAAGACGATCCCTTTGTTCCCAATGAAGTAGCTCGACAGGTGAAAGTGACGAGGCAACGTCGTCTTTAAAGTCATACGTAGAGTGTGTCTCTGACCATTTCTGTTGGTCTTCCTGTCCCAGACCTACGAGGTAGCTGCCACGGCCCAGAGTAAAGAGAAAGTCCAGCTGGTTACGTTTGACGCTTCTCGTGGATATCTGCACAACGGCTTGTACCGAGACCCCAAGACGCCGGGCGTTTTGAAGTGAGAGACGACGACTAATGATCTGAGTGGTTAGGAGTGTAAAAGTGCATGTATTTGTATCAAACCGTCACGGGACATATTTGGGTCCGGTGTGTGCAGTCAGATGAAGAGGGAACTCGTTTTGTCTCGGTTTCTCTTTTTTCAACTGCCACAACAGCAGGAGGTCCTCTCCGAAGCACTCTTCTCCAAAGCCAAGCAAGAACTGTGAGTTCATCTGAAACTCGGCTGCTGCGTGGAGCGCTTTGGTTTTCTCATAATAAGTGGCTGCAATAGAGGTGAATGTATGGAAAGCCACAAGGGCCATAAATGTCTTCTGGAGACTAATAAACATCTGAACATGACGCCAGGTGTGAATCCATCACCTGAGCATGAATCGCTCACCGGTAACGCTAGAATAAATTTAGATTTATTTTTATTTTGCATCAAGTCTTGTTCATCTGAAAGGCTCATTTTGCTCTCAACAAAAAAAAAAAGACGCCTTTAAGTTTAAGAGTTTATCAAATGATTTATACGCCTGTCGAGGGCGGGGCGTTTCATGGTCCGTCAGTAAACCGTCACTTGTCCACCTTTAACTTCTGATCCCCTCAAGATAATTTAATGAACGTCGCACACCTGTGCACCATCACTGGACGGAGTGTCACGTACATTTTAATACCTCAACTTCAAGGTCAAAGTCACAAAGCAAGGTCAAAGATTATACAAGGTGTTTACTTGTCTGGGCCAGGGATATAGATTGCTGTGATATAGATTGCTGATAGATTGCTGTGATATAGATTGCTGTGATATAGGTTGCTGTGATATAGATTGCTGTGATATAGATTGCTGTATTGCTGTTTATTAGTTTGTCGATGGCGTATAATGAGCGTATGTCTTGTAAAACCTGTAGAAAACGTTTTCCTGTTGAAGTGAGATAAACGGTGCAGTTTGCTGTAAATGTTTTTATTTGCGTTACCAGTTAATCTGCTTTGAGACGATTTGTGTTTCCATCTCTGTTCTTGGGAGAATTTCTGTCGGTTTAAAAAAAAGAAAAGGGAGGGGACAAAAGTCTCCCATCTTCTACCGCTTGCTTGTGGTTGGGTCAAAATGGCAACAGGTCCAGGAGAAAACCTAAGACCTCCCTCTCTCCAGTGAAACTCCAGCTCCTCCTGGGGTCTCCTCCCAGTGGAACATGCCTGTAAAACCTCCAAAGGGAGGCGTCTTCATCAGATGAACCTCCTCAGCTGACTCCTGTCGATGCAGAGGAGCAGCAGCTCTACTCCGAGCTCCCCCAGATGACGAAGCTTCTCACCTCTAAGGCTAAAGGAAGCTCTGGTTCTTCAGGTCCTGATCCAAACCTCCTGACCACAGGTGAGGGTTGGAACGTAGACAGACCAGTAAACCCAGAGCTTTGCCTTTAGACTCCACTCTTCACCGCGACTGAAACAACATCCTCGTTACTGAGGACCAAGCTCGATCCGTCTCCTGCTCCATCCTACCATCACGCAGGAACAAGATGCCCAGATTCAATTCAATTCAAAAATACTTTATTAATCCCAGAGGGAAATTATTTGTTGTTGTAACTCGTTATCCTCATTTCATTAAGAGATGTTATAGATGCTGATGCTGTAGGCAGGAAGGATCTCTTGTAAAGGTCCATCCCACAGTGGATCCTAAGAAACTGGCTGCAGATGTCATCTGATCCGTCCACCCAGACTCGGCTGGCCTCTCGGTTCCCCCGGGCTGTAGGACCGCCCATATGCCAGCAGAACTCCTCCCAGAGCGATGGCCACTCCTCCCAGCAGTCTGCTGAGCTCCTCGTCGCTGCGGATAGACAACTGTAGGTGCCGAGGGACGATCCTGTTCTTCTGCTGTCATGAGCCGTGTTTCCTGCTAGTTCCAGGATCTCAGTGGTCAGGCACTCGAGCACAGCTGGCAGGTAGATGAGAATGCATCCACAGAACATCCTTTCAACTCATTTGAGAGTTGGAGCCATAGTTGAGATATTACTTGATCTTTTGAGATGTTAATCAGCTACTGGTTGTAGAAACTGCCTTGTTGCCATGGTTACGCATCTTAACAAATGTCCAACACTAAAATAGTTTCAGTAAAAATCCTTCCAGCTGCTCAGCATCTGATACCAGACGAAACAACCATCCAACAAATGTGATTTACATCCAGAAAAACAGGAATTAAAGTTTCCAAAAGCAAAATGTCAGAATGAAAGTAGAGCTGCTCCAACATGCAGCCACCTGGAGCGGAGCAGTTCTGGAACAGATCCCTGAACGTCTCCACCTGAGGCACAGTCTCAAACCAAACTGACCCTAAAACTGAACAGAGTTGTGTGTTCTGTTCACCCCTACATTACACTGTAGTCTGTTCACGTTCTTCTGTGTTTGGTTGTCTGTGATGATGTTTTTGTTAAACTGTCCCTTCGTGTCTCCACAGGGATTTCGTGCAGTCCTTGTTACAGTGGAGAAACTCCTAGGACCTCTGAAAGACAGCGCTGCTTTAACCAACTGATCCACTTCAATCATGTGCTGCGATTTGTTGCCGAGATGATTGATTTTAAATAAACTGAACAAGTTGATTAAAATCTATGATTTTTCAGAAATTCCTGTAAAATATTGTGGTTAAAGCACTACAAAGATTTGCTGAAAGAGCTGTTTTGTTAATAGGAAACAGATTCACCTACTTTGGTTTTAGTCATTTTTTAAGGTCCATAAGTGAAATTCTTCAGTAAGTGTTGAGAACTTTCAACAGCAAAGGTCCTGATGCTCAATAATCCAGGTAGATGAATCCCACAAGGTAGAGTCAGGTCCTCTGGATGATTCTTTATTGAAACGTTTCATCTGTTATCCAAAGGACTTCTTCAGTCTGAGGGGCTGCAACAAACTCAGTCTTGAAAATAGCTCCTCTTCATGGTGGATCAACCAGTTTGTTCTTTACATCCAGAGCTAGATGTTCACATAAAGGAGGACCATCAGCCTAACGATGGATCATTAGCACCTGATGGCTGTTTACTATTCACAGGGGGTTGAGTGATGAGGTCCACCTGAATCTGTGGGAGCGTTTAGGATATCCACATTGCTCCAGGGCCTGTCTTGTGTGGGATTTCTCCTTCTGCCTGGCTCCTGAGTTAGTGGGGACGCTGTCTGCTCTGTGGTACAGAGTCCTGATGACTCCGTCAGGCTTGATCATGTGAACAGCTGGTTCTGGATGTCAACAGCAAACTGGTTGATCCACCATGAGAAGGTGCTATTTATAAGACTGAGTTTGATGCAGCTCCTCAGACTGAAGAAGTCCTTTGGATAAAAGACGAAATCTTTCAACAAGAAGAATCATCCAGAGGAGCTGACTCTACCTGGTTCGATTCAACATCGAAGTGTTTTTCATTTTGAAATGCTTCACCAGACTTCTGGTACTGATCTTTTAGGCACAAGCTGTGTGGGCGTCAGAAAGAGACCTGACCTAAATGGTCAAAGCAGTGGCTCAGACACAAACATTGAAGTAACTTGGCAGTGATGTCAGAAATCTGTTGCGTATTTTGGAGGCAGGCTATGAACTGTAACCCCAACGGGCCGAGTTTCAACAATGTGTTTATCGGGGTGGAGCTGCTGGTGGTGCGTTGATCAACAAGTGACAGTTTCCAACATACATCTGTTAAAAAAAAATGCTTTAATCGAGATACACTTATTAATAAAATAATAATGAATCCAGTGTTCAGTTCATGCGTTATTTTTATTTTAAGACAGAACATTCAGGATTAACTGTTTGTAAGTCAATTTAAACTGAATAGAAAACTAATGCTATTATTCAGGTTCCTCTTGTAAATGAGTCCCCGGGGCTCAATGGGATTAACCTGTATAAATAAAGGTTGAATCAATCAATCAACCTTTATTTAGACAGGTAAATCCCATGAAATGAAAGTTATAACTGGAACTGTAAAGTGACATTACATTATATCAACATATATTGTTCATGTAAAAGTTTATGGTTTCATGACAGAAACAATCTGCACTTTAAGTTCGTCTAATTTGAAACATTCGTAGTTAGATTTTATCGGGGGTGTGCGCGTGCGCCGTGCACGGGCTCTGTCTGAAGCTGCGCTCCTGGCAGTCGGATGACGTGGCTGAAGCCTGCGGAAGACGGTTTCCTTTAACAACCGCTGTCCGCGTTGATTGGCTGCTCCGAGCCACGTGGTCCGGCTCCGCCAATCAAACGTATGAACGATGAGAGCGCGTGAAGCGTTTACGAGCGCATCCCTGAAAATTGCCTCTGTCATACAACCAGGAAGAAGGTTGGATAGCTCCGCAAAGCTAACAACCTCAATCTTTCTGCACACTCTCCGAATTTAATAATGGGGTCTTCTTGGTGGAGGCTGGCGGCAGTGGTTATCTCAGTAGCGGGCTCTTTATTACCAGTTGGCGCGGATGAGCACGACCACACGGTAAGACAAAGTTTTAGGAGGTCGACTGAAAAAAGGGGGAGCCGTGAAAATAATGGACGTTTAGCATGCTAGCTAGCAGCAGCGGCTAGCTGCCGTCCGAAAAACTGCTCCAGTCGTGACAGGCTCGTGTCTGGGCCTGTTGTGGGACTTATCAACACTTTGTGAGGCTTTAATCACGAACACTCAAGTTGGGTTAAAAAAATAAAAAATAGCATTTAGCTACATCTCGGCCTGAAGTGAACGTGATGGCTAACGTCCGTGAGTTTCCGCTGCTTGTCGTGCACGTCTTTCGCGTTAAGCTCCGGTGAAGCGCTCCGGTCAGCAGCTGGCTCCGTGAAACGAGCATTTATCCTGGAGGCAGGTGAATAAATAAACGGTTGCGATGGATGAAACACCGGTTAAACGTCGAGGCCTTTCCAGCCGCGAACGTCTGACCCGAAGACTTGAACATGCTAACATCATGCTAACCGTCTTAAATTAACTCCTTGTTGTTGTTGTTTTTTTGGGGGGGAGCTTTAGGTTAACTTCCTTGAAGCAAACAGAATTATATCACTGAATGATAAATGTGTTGCACTGTAATAAGTTTGCGTGGATTCGAAAGTAAAATCGCCTCTTTTTCAACTAATTCGCTCTGGTAAATGTGATTTTTGTCATATTTTCAACAGTCTTTGTCAAACTGTCAACGTGAACAGGCCATTTAAAAGTATTCTTAACTTTCCTGATGAATTCAAGTGTGTATGTTCTAAATAACCAGCTGGACTTGCAGAACAGGTGTGGCCTACCTGAACATCAGTGTTTTCCCTTCTCAGTACACGGACCGGGAGGAAGTGGTTTTATGGATGAACACCGTGGGGCCTTACCACAACCGACAGGAGACATACAAGTATTTTTCTTTGCCCTTCTGCGCGGGCTCCAAGAAGACCATCAGTCATTACCATGAAACCCTCGGAGAGGCTCTGCAGGGCGTGGAGCTGGAGTTCAGCGGCCTGGATATTAAGTTCAAAGGTATTCTCCACTTACACTTGAATCACTGCAAATGTAATGATGGTTGGTTTACTGTTCTTGGTTCTTGTCATGCATCTAATCGACGTGGGTTTTATTCTTCTTCTTACAGAGGAAGTCTTGCAGATAATGTACTGTGAAATTGAGATGGACAAAGCAAAACAGGATGCTTTTGTTTATGCCATCAAGAATCACTACTGGTACCAAATGTACATAGATGACCTGCCCATCTGGGGTAAGTGATGCAGCCCCCCCTTCCCGGGTCACCTGGATTTTTTTGGCGATATTGAGACTTGTTTTGAGGATTGCTTTTCTTCTTATTGGCAAGGCAGTTATATTTTGAGTTTAACCTCTTTCTCTGAATGGTAAAAAGGTGGAGCCAGTTCAGTTTCACAGCTCACATGGTCGGCTTCATTTGTACTTGGAAGTTATTTATTTTTAGTTCCATGTTGGAAAAATCTACAAAGCTCCTAAAGTTTGAGTTACTGTCCACAACACTGCAGAAGCTGCTTCTATTTTTCTGATGATCTCACGCTTCATTTTTCCCTCATTCCTGAACAAAACCCCAGGATACTTGAGGCAGACCCCCCACTCCCAACTTGGAGGGGACAATCCTCCATTTTCTGAGGATCATGGTTTCAAAACCACATCATCTGCAAATAGCAGAGACTGAATTCTGAAGCTGCAGACCCTGCACCAAAGAACTGTCCATAAAAGTTATGAACAGATTGGTGACAATGGGCAGTCCTGGAAGGATCTGACTTTCTGCCGGCAATGCAAACTGAATCGTCTGTATAGAAACTGAATGGCTCGTAGCACCGCAACCCCAATCCCATCGAGCACACCACGGGGAACGCTGCTAAACACCATTCTAAGTCCATAAAACACAAGTAGCCTAGGTAAACTCCCAGTCCTCCTTGAAGTTTAAGAACTGGTCCAGTTTTCCACGGCTGGGACAGAAATAATCAATTTAATTCAGTTTATTTATATATTGCCAAATCACAACTAAGTTGTCTCAGGGCACTTTACAGGAACATTCACATACATAGAAAAGCCAATTAGTAAAGTTCTCTAAGGAAGCCAGCATCTGTTTGAAGAGTTTAGTGAATGTTTAGAGCTCATCATAGCACAGAAACAGCACTGGTGAAAGTCACTAATGATATTCTCATGGCCTCAGACAATGGACTTGTGTCTCTACTGGTCCTGTTAGACCTCAGTGCTGCATTTGATACAGTTGATCATAATATTTTATTACAGAGACTTGAATATGATGTTGGGATTACAGGAATGGCTCTAAATTGGTTTAAATCATGTTTATCTGATAGATTCCAATTTGTAAGTGTAAATAATGAATCTTCATCATACACCAAAGTTAGTCATGGAGTTCCTCAAGGTTCAGTGCTTGGACCAATACTCTTTACCTTGTACATGCTTCCATTAGGTAAAGTTATTAAACAGCATGGGATACATTTTCATTGTTATGCTGATGATACACAGTTATATTTATATTTTTATATATAATTTATATGTATATATTATATAATTTGTTTAAACGTTATCTTTTTGGTAGACAAGAGTATGTAATTCTAAATCATCAAAAATGCCAAATTCAAGACCTCAAACATGGGGTCCCCCAGGATTCAATCTTGGGACCATTACCTTTCATTATATATATATTAATGACTGTAAATTCTTCCAAAATATTTCATAAGGTCATTTTTGCTGATGATGATAACTTCTTTTTTTTTTCTTTTCACATAAAAATTATTCAGAACTGGAGGATGTCGTAAATGCAAAACTGGAAAAAATAAATATCTGGTATAAGAGTAACAAGTTATCTCTTAATATCAGCAAAACAAATTTTATTCTCTTTAAACCCAATAAACCTAAATTGTTAATTGATCATGTAATTCTCAAAATTGAAAATGAGAAATTAACTAGAGTAAGTTTCACAAAATTCCTGGGCGTCCACATAGATGAGTCCTTAAATTTTAAATTGCATATTGAGTGTCCTAACAAAGTTTTCCAAATATGTTGGCTTGTTTTTTAAATTATATTATTTGCCTCTATCCACACTCTTAATGTATAAAACTCTCATCGAGCCACACCTTACATACTGTAATGTTATATGCTGCAATACTTCCCCTAGTTATCTTAAGAAACTTGAAAGTCTTCAAAAAAAGATAAGAGCTGTGTCATGGTCAGAGTAGAACGCCCCCACATCCCATCTATTCCATCGTTTTGGTCTTCTTCGGCTAACAGAATTAAATGTGTATCAAAACGCCTGTTTGATGTTTCAAATTGTAATTAAAACTAATAAAAGATTAACGGAGCTCGTTCCAATCAGTGGTGAACAACATACGTATGAAACCAGGAAAAAACATCTTATCTACACTAAATATAGAAGACTTAGAATAACTAGTCAAACCTTTTCTGGGAGGGGTCCACAGATTTGGAACGAGCTTGATGAGAGTTTGAAAGAGTTGAAATTCATCTCCACCTTCAAAAAACAGTTAAAGACCAAATTGCTCCATTTATGTACTTGAGATCACTTGTAGGACCTGATTGATCAGAGGTAACATGATCTGTATTGTATGTGGAATTTTTATGAGGACTCATGTTTTATTGTTATTTTAATATGTTGTAATTTGTATGCAATATGTACCCAGGGTCTCACAGAACTCCCACATTTGAGCTTTGCCTCAGCAACAACCAACTCTTAGGATCATCCAGATGATTCAGTTTTGGCTTTGCTGAAAATTTATAGATGCATGACATCATTGTAGCAAATCAAAGATTGGGTTTTGTCAACAATGGTGTATCTGCATCCAAGGTCCTGTTTGGATCTGGTTCTGAAGGGCATCCCAGGCGATTTGGACACCTTTTCTAGCGTGTTATCTGCTGCATATGCAAACAAACATGAAGCCACGTGACGTGTATCGGCCAGCTGAGCAATGTGGCAGATTACCTGAGCAGGTTCCAGATTACATGCATCATACTCGGATGAGTTACATGTAACTGAACAGATGTGATGAAAAATAAGAGCATAAGTAGGTTTGTGACTCCAGAGCTGAGTGTCGGGGCATCTCTGCTTCACCGCAGTAAAACACGACGACGGTCTGTTTTCTACACAACTCTATACATAAGTTGGTTTAAGTAAAAATCCACAAGAAAAGTACGATCGTAAAGTTTAGATTCTTAGAATGTTGGAAGATTCCACAGCAGGAACAATCTGCTCTAAAACAAAACATTACATTTGAGAAAAGAGCCACTCAGAGCATCATGGTAATCCACAGATTAACGTAATCCCTGCCTAAACGTCTTTAATTGACAAGGATTCTAACATTTAAAGCTTCGGAATTGTTCCCACAGGGAACTTTTTAATGATTTGAAGTTGGCGTGCAGCTCGAGTTGTGCTTGCAGAGCCCAAAGTGAGTCTGTTGGCTCAGAGTCCAGGTCTGCAGGTCTTTGCTTTCAGAGTAACATGAGAATATGGACCCATCAGTCCCAGACCACCTCCAGAATCCAAGTGTTCACCCCTGAATTTATATCTCTAATGTGACCCCCCCCTGGATGAAGGACCAGGTCTGAGAACAGGGTTTTGTTCACATGTGGAAGAGTTTTTAAAACTGCCACGTACGGTCTTCTGTAAGAAGGTTCTAAATGTTAATATTGACCAAAGTTCTGACTCCGACAGTCGAGCCACTCCTGCAGCAGGTGTGTGTGTGCAGCAGGTGTGTGTGTGTGTGTGTGTGTGTGTGTG